TTTTAATAGGTTTCATGTATGTTATTAGTTGAAAAAATAAAAACAACATACCAAAGGAAGTAGAAACCAAATTGTTTGTGCAAAGTACACTGTGGGCCGTAATAGAAAATATGTTTTTTTGGTGCCTTGGTTTGCTCACAAATAACCACAGGGATCTATTGTTGGGATCATTTTAAAAGAAGTAACCCCAAATATAGGTTACTATTTCTTGTAAGATTTTTTCATTTAAAAAAATAAAATAAAAAACGAAGGTTATTGTTGCCTGGTTTTTAGATAAACATGTAGTACCAACCATGGTTTGTGTTTGATTGAATGCTGTGTGTTTCCAAAATAGAAACCCCAAACATAGGTTGGTTGTCATGCAATGGTTTTGGTTTCAATGCAGTAACCCCAAACCAAATTATAACCCTACACCAAATGAATACACATATATATATATATTTATATTTATATTGCCACAGTAGTATTTGGGTACATTATGTATTGAAGTTGCATCAAAAAATCCTAGGGCAAGAGCAACTAAATTAGGTGAACATACATTAAAAAAACACCAACAAACACATGTACAATACTGAAACTGTACTCAAACATTTGCCTTAGGCATTTTGAGACTTCTATATGTCTATTTGTTTTGTGATTTCCCCAATAATGAAAAGGTACCTTAAGGGGGCTTAAAGCACCTTTTTATTTTACAAAGTACCTACTAGGGTTGGTTGGCATGCAATTGGTGTGGTTTGCAAAACTGTAACCCCAAGCCAACTAATGACTAATAACCCCACACCACATGAATACACATATACCTCCACATTAGTATGTGGGTACATTATGTCACATTATGCCTTAAAGTGTCATCAAAAAATCATAGGGCAAGAGCAATTACATTAGGTGAACATACATAAATAAGAAAAGAAAAAACACATGTACAATACAGAAACTATAATCAAATATTTGCACTAGACATTTTTGAGACATTCCCATTTCTATTTTTTCGTTTTATTTTGCAAAAAAAAAGTACCTGAAGGGGGGCTTAAAACACCTTTCATTTTACAAGGTACCTTATAGGGTTGGTTGGAATGCAATGGGTGTGGTTTGCAAAACTGTAACCCCAAGCCAACTAGGAACACGGCCTTTAGAAGGCCGTGGTGTTTTTGTGATCAACGGGGTGCCATGGATGATGTTTGATGTGGTCGTGCCAATAGGATTTTGGTTGATGTGATTTCAAAGGCGAGAAACCCCTTATTCTGGTGCATAAAATCAAAAACTAGCATTTCGCCTAGGCGAAACTATCATTTTTGATGTTTCTCAGAACTCCCCAACTAATTCGACCTGCAATGGTTTGATATGATTTTAAAGGCCAGAAACCTTTATTCTGGTGCATAAAATCAAAAAGCAAGCGTTTCGCCTAGGCGAAACCCATTTTTTTTTGTGTGGTTGACTATTTGCCCAAGATTCCAGTTGACATCTGCTGATTTCTTTTTTCTCTCACCGGAAAAAAAAGAAGGTACTACTTACCCCGCAAGCTCACATGAACGTTAATACATGAACGCATGAGTGGCAAGTTCCAGAGAACTTACAGTAACGTGGCATGACGCATGAGTGGAAAGTTCCAGAGAACTTACAATAGCGTGGCATGACGCATGAGTGGAAAGTTTCCAGAGAACTTACAGAGCGTGGCATGAGGTATGAGTGGAAAGTTCCAGAGAACTAGCACTAGCGTGGCATGACACATGAGTGGAAAGTTCCAGAGAACTATACATAGGGTGGCATGAGGTATGAGTGGAAAGTTCCAGAGAACTTACATAGCGTGGCATGACGTATGAGTGGAAAGTTCCAGAGAACTTACATAGCGTGGCATGACGCATGAGTGGAAAGTTCCAGAGAACTTACAGTAGCCACAGAGAAGCATGTCCTTCCTCCGCAAGTTCACATGAACGTTATTACATGCCCCACCCCACCCCACCCCACCCCACCCCACCCGTGCATACATGCACCTACCGGCAGCCACAGACAAGCATGTCCTTCCTCCACAAGTTTGCATGAACGTTATTACATGCCCCACTCCACCCCACCCCCCCGATGTCCACGAAACAGCACGGCCGTGCTCCAACTAATGACTAATAACACCACACCACCTGAATACATGTGTATTTATGCATACATATATATATATATTTCTATATAAATATATATATATATACATATATATATATATATATAGATATAGCCACAGTGATATTTAGGCACATTACGTCTTAGAGTTTCATCAAAATAATCATAGGACAAGAGCAGCACATAAGTAACAAAACAAACAAGATATGTACAACACTGAAATTGCAATAAAATAATTGCTCTAGACATTTTGAGACATCTCCATTTCTATTTCTTTAATGTTTTATTTTTCCAAAAAATGAAAGGTACCTTAAGATGGCTTAAAGCACCTTTCATTTTCCCAGGTACCATTGTGGAACCAGTTTTTGAACATGTTAGGCTTCGGTTTCGGAAACCAATTTTCAGACGTTTTGAGACATCTCCAGTTCTATTTTTTAAGTTTTGCTCAATGAAAATGAAAAAGCCATGCAACATCCATTGTGAAGTATAGATATCATATTTGTTGATTGATACATTCACAAGGTCTTTGGCATTTCTGTTGTAAGCTTTTCTGACATCATCATGGGCAAAACATGTTCTTCATGGAGTTACTTTTGGTGAAAGGCTGGAATTTATGTCAAGTGTACACTTAGGGATGTCTCAAAATAGGAGTGCCCCAAAGCTCTGTTTTGCACACTAAAAAACAAGGGCTTGGGGCTCCCTATTTTGAGACATCCCCAATTGCATATACCATCTGTGTAGCACACTGGTGCTCAAGATTGAAGTTACTTGTCACTTGTCGCCCCTGTTGGTAACCTCATGAAGAGGCCTGCTTGTCCACCTGATGCTATGCTTGCATGTTGCCTCCACCTGAACCAGCACCAGAATCTGTAGAACAGGCTTCTCCAGAAGAAACTGCCCCATGAGCTGACTTAGATTCTTAGATACTGCGGCACCAAAGGCAAAGGCCAAAGCCAAGGTGAAAGCAAAATCTAAAGTCAAGGCAAAGGCAGCAGGTAAAGCCAAGGCTGCTGCCAGCAAAGCTCCTGGGGTTACTTCTTCGCCAATGAAAGCTCAAAAGGCAAGAGCACAATGAAGAAAATCCTGAAAAGACCTGATGCAGCTGAAGGCGAAAGCCAAGGCCAAAGCGAAGACTGTCAAGGAGATGGCAGCAGGATGGAAGAAGAGCAGGGATGAGCCAGTTCCTGATGACCATGCAGAAGGAGAAGATGAGGAGCCTAAAGAGGAGGATGCAACAGTTGCTGATGATGAGCATCGAAGCTACCCCAAGGTAAGGAAATGTGCCAGAATGATCAAAAGTGGCCAGGTGCCAGAAGATCTTCAGCAGCTCTATGAAGAAGAGGGCTCCAAGAATTCTCTTGAACACCAGAGGCGAGTCTGTGTTTGCTCCTGGAAATACCCAGTGTTCGAAGTTTTCAAGAAGAACTCTGAGATTTGCAACAAAACTCAGATTACTGGGTTGGCTTAGGTTGTGGACAAAATCCAGGGAAACCAGCAAGCTTTGAATGAAGCAGAAAGATGAGGTGATGTCTATCAGAAAGATGGTTACTATCATGTCAGGACAATAGCCACAGCCATTGAGAAGAAGCAGGGCAGTTCCATGGTCTTGCATGGTGGCCAAGCCAACCTCACCAAGGATGAGAGTTCGCAGGTGAGTCAATTCATGTTGAGCAGGCCCTGGAGCCAGTTTGGCACTGGAGCTAGTTGTGGTGGTAGTGGTGGTTGTGGTAGTGGTAGCAGTGCTTCCTCTACACCAGCTGTGGTTACTTCATCCTCAGCATTGCCAAAAGCGATTTCTGATGCTCCTGTTAAACTTAGCTGGGCAAGTGTGCAGCATGACATCAAAGAAACCAAAGTGGTTCAGGAGCGACTGGGTAGAGACAAGAAAGACCAAAAATCAATGATACTTTGAAGGATGCCCTCACTGAGCTTTCAAAGACAGAATGCATGCTTGGACAATGCTTCATTGCCAAGTATGACTGGTTCATTATTGCCATAATCTGTATGTGTATGTATGTGTATGTATGTGTATGTATGTGTATGTATGTGTATGTATGTGTATGTATGTGTATGTATGTGTATGTATGTGTATGTATGTGTATGTATGTATATGTATATGTATGTGTATGTGTATGTATATGTATATGTATAGCTACGGATATAGATGTAGATACAAATATAGATATGGAAGAAGATGTTTATATAGTTATATAAACATACACACATACATGTAGGTGTATATATATACATATATGTATGTATAGATACCGATAGAATAGATATGAATATAATATGGGTAATTATAGATATAGATATATATATTTATATATATATACATACACATATAACCAAACATAACAGTGCAGTGCATTGCATTGCATTGCAAGTCATTGCATACATACATACACAACATTACATTACATTACAGTACAGTACATTACATTACATTACAGTACATATGCATATGTTGTGTATGCTTCTGTCGAAGTATTCCGGATTCTATGCCCCCCCCTCTGCAAAAGAGTAGTTTGAAACTGTTGGGACTTGTGGACTGGTGGGAGCACTATGAGACACTGTACCTACATAGACAAACATATATAGTGTACACATATGTCTATGTATATATATATATTGTATGTATTGTACATGTACTGTAAATATAGAGAAATATAATAGATGCATACATCCGGTGGCTGATTGGCTCAACGTTTGGAAGTCTTGGGATACACAGCAACAAGTCCTGTTCGCTTATTGTCTCAAGCCTCTGCCATTCTTTCCAAAACTCATTGTTTTTTCAAACGCTCGCACGCCAGTATCCACACCAACACACACAGACATACACATACATGTTTTAAATCAATGTATTGCTCAACCATTCAAAACTAGCCATCGCGAAGCCGGCTTCATAGATCCCGTTCCACATTCCTTGACTTTCTGGAGCCTCCTCGATCATTGCAATGCCACCAGGGCCCCAATTGTTCCATGAACCCGAGAGGTAGTAGGCCTGGCACGACTTCAGTTGTGAAGCTGGGACCCTGGTTTCTAAAGTTCCTATGTGGCTGCTGCTTCGAAGTAGTGACTATGTCTACAAATATACGTACTATATTTTTAATGTGTGTATTTAGTTAAGTTGTTCATACATAATACCCTACCCTTCCAAATGCGATGTTTAACATGGTGGTATTTCTTCAAATACAATGTTTAACGTACGTAGTATTTTCTCAGATACAATGACTAACCACCAAAATCACTTCTTGACCAAGTCGGTGTAAGTCCCGAAATCTGTGCACATAATCGGCATGGAAGCGGGATCGCATTGAAACTTTACGCAAATTTCACGTCTAAACATACGTCTGCAATATTTCACGGGTAAACTTAGTACTTCAAGCAAATTTCACGGGTTGTAAAATAGACTTGCCTTCAAACATGGTCAAACATACTGTGTGTTTAAGAAATACGATTTTGAACCGGGTCAAACATAGCATTTGACAAGTACGAAGTTAAACTTCAACATTCAAGACAAGGGTATACACATGATGATATATATGTGTGATGTGTACACGTTCCATACACTGGTTGTAGCAAAAATTCTGAATTTCAGTCACCGGGTGTCTGCAAGTCCGCGCAAAAAAGGAGGTGACCATGGTCCCCGCGTCCCTGGGTTGACCTTCTCGGGTCTAGGTGCATCTCCACCACCTCCCAACCACAGCATCATGGAGGACCTGCCAACATGTTGGTTGAAAAAAGTTGGTACAAGTATCAGTGAAATTGTTTGTGCCAAACTGCTAATGTCGTTGCTGTTGATGTTTCTTCCTGTTCGTTGCTGTTGATGTTTCTTCCTGTTTTACTGTCATGACACTGTATCGTTGCATGTCATATTTGTTGTTGTTTTTCCAGTTCCCTTCTCATATGTGCGGCCGTTACCGTTCTGTTGCTGTCCACTCTGTGTTTGATGGTCCATGCGGTTGCTGTCACGGGCACATCCACACCGGCCTGGAGTAGTTCCTCATGGCGACGCGTGGCAATGGGTGGTAGTGACCCAAGGCTGTGAACATTGGTCGCTTTAGCCTCTCAGGCACCTTTCGGCCCAAAGATACGTTTTGGTTTCAACGGCTTTTTACCGGGAAGATGTGCACATAGATGACTGCATGACGACTGTAACATTAGTTATATAGTTATATTGCTTCTTCATTAGGTTAAAGGGAAACTGCAGGAAGCCATTGCTTTCCCAATGAATGTCCATTGAGTACCAAGTTGTCTTCAGTTTTTCTTCCCTTAATTCAGTTCTTGGACCTCTAAAGACCTGGCTCCCGGACTCAACGTCGGAATGACCATGGTGACCATGGCTGGAACCAGTGCACATGACGCAACCTGAGAGGCATTGCTACCCACGTTGGTTATACCAACATCTACCAACTAATTCAATTATATTCAATTCATTCTGACTATAATTCTGACCATAATTGCCATAATTCTTCCTGTGATTCTGATTATCAGTTGATCAGAACCCCACGGGCTAGAATTGGTGCAGAGGTTCACCTCTGCATCTGTGCTCCGATCTAGATCCATGAAAATCCCAACATCACCATGTAGAGCCAAGATACCCATGGTGCCACCCCAGCCATTCGCCAAAACGCCATAAACGGAGCTCCTGGAGGTCTGAATATGTGGGGCGGGATTGGGGTATTCCAAATCTTTGCAAGTGGCCTCTCAAGGGGAATGAAATGATACTCCGCTTGTTGGGATCCTTTCCAGTTTGAGTTCATATCCGGTGCTTTATAGGTACTGTAACTTGTTTGCAGGCTTGTCGATCATCAAGGGTTCATGGTCGGGCGGAGTTTTTGCCAGTGCCCCTGTGGGTTTTACCCTGCACATTTCTTAAATGTGATATTATCTGATATGTATATAATATATATATATACACGTATATATCACAAATTTTGAACTGCTCGACTCAACAAGACCCATCCAACAAGTCAGTCTCAAACCCAAGATGGTGTCCCTACAAACGCTGAGTGAATACTCCCTAAGCCTCTTAAATTGTTGAAGAAAACGGCAGCACCGATTGAACCGTTGAACTGCGAAAGACTGTCGGTGCACATCCCCCTGCGCTTCCAAGGCCTGGTATAGAATCTCACATTCTCCGTTGAGAGCATGATATTCTGCTCGGCTGCATCCTTCGATCATGCAGGCGTTCAAAGGCTATAGCCTGTTGGGACATTCTGTTTGATTATATTATACTAGGCGCAGATGACACGGGACTTTGCGGCCGATTTAGCCGATGTTTTTTGGCACATGACATGGGATTTATGTATCGATTTTGCTATGGTTTTTTATTTTACACATGACATGGGAGTTATGCGCCGACCTAACGGGCAGGCATTTTTCCATTTTTTTGACAGATGACATGAGAATAAGTGAGCCAATTTACACATGACATGGGACTTTACACCGCGGGAGATGGGACATCCAAGGTGGGAACTGGCAGGTAGGGAGATGGGAAGAGGAATTTTACCACAGGAGATGGGACATCTAAGGTGAGGAGGTGGGACATCCAAGATGGGAACTGGCAGGCGGAACTGGCAGGTAGGGAACAACAGGAGATGGGACATCCAAGGTGGGAACTGGCAAATAGGGAGACGGGAAGAGGAATTTACCGCAGGAGATGGGACATCCAAGGTGGGAGCTGGCAGGTAGGGAGATGCGAAGAGGAATTTACCACATGACATGGGACTTCCAAGGCCGTAATGGGACTTCCAAGCCCGGATCTGGCAGGTAGGGAGGAAACATGTACCACAGGAGGTGGGAACTGCCAAGTAGGGAGATGGGAACAGGAATTTGACCACAGCAGATGGGACATCTAAGGTGGGAACTGGCAGGTAGGGAGATGGGAAGAGGAATTTACCGCAGGAGATGGGACATCCAAGGCCGGAACTGCCAGGTAGGGAGATGGGAAGAGGAATTTACCACAGGAGATGGGACATCCAAGATGGGAACTGGCAGATAGGGAGATGGGAAGAGGAATTTACCACAGGAGATGGGACATCCAAGATGAGGAGGTGGGACATCCAAGATGGGAACTGGCATGCGGAACTGGGGGAACTGGCAGCTAGGGAGAAGGGGGAGAGGAATTTACCGCAGGCAGGTAGGGAGATGCGAAGAGGAATTTACCACATGACATGGGACTTCCAAGGCCGGAATGGGACTTCCAAGGCCGGAACTGGCAGGTACGGAGGAAACATGTACCACAGCAGGTGGGAACGGGCAGGTAGGGAGATGGGAAAAGAATTTACCACAGGAGATGTGACATCCAAGGCCGGAACTGCCAGGAAGGGAGATGGGAAGAGGAATTTACCACAGGAGATGGGACATCCAAGATGGGAACTGGCAGATAGGGAGATGGGAAGAGGAATTTACTGCAGGACATGGGACATCCAAGGGAGACGAATTTACCACATGACATGGGACTTCCAAGACGGGAACTGGCAGGTAGGGAGACGGGAAGAGGATTTACCGCGGGAGGTGGGGCATCCAAGGTGGGAAGTGGCAGGTAGGGAGATGGGAAGAGGAATTTACCACAGCAGGTGGGAACTGGCAGGCAGGGAGATGGGAAAGGAATTTTACCGCAGGAGATGGGACACCTAAGGTGGGAACTGGCAGGTAGGGAGACGGGAAGAGGAATTTACCACAGGAGATGGGACATCCAAGGGAGACGAATTTACCACATGACATGGGACTTCCAAGACCGGAACTGGCAGGTAGGGAGAGGATTTACCGCGGGAGGTGGGCATCGTGGGAACTGGCAGGTAGGGAGATGGGAAGAGGAATTTAACACAGGAGATGGGACACCAAGGTGGGAACTGGCAGGCAGGGAGACGGAAGAGGAATTTACCGCAGGAGATGGGACATCAAGGGAGACGAATTTACCACATGACATGGGACTTCCAAGGCCGAAACTGGCAGGTAGGGAGACGGGAAGAGGAATTTACCGCGGGAGGTTGGGCATCGTGGGAACTGGCAGGTAGGGAGATGGGAAGAGGAATTTAGCACAGGAGATGGGACATCCAAGATGGGAACTGGCAGATAGGGAGATGGGAAGAGGAATTTAACCGCAGGAGATGGGACATCCAAGGGAGACGAATTTACCACATGACATGGGACTTCCAAGACCGGAACTGGCAGGTAGGGAGACGGGAGAGGATTTACCGCGGGAGGTTGGGCATCGTGGGAACTGGCAGGTAGGGAGATGGGAAGAGGAATTTAGCACAGGAGATGGGACATCCAAGGTGGGAACTGGCAGGCAGGGAGATGGAAGAGGAATTTACCGCAGGAGATGGGACATTCAAGGGAGACGAATTTACCACATGACATGGGACTTCCAAGACCGGAACTGGCAGGTAGGGAGACGGGAAGAGGATTTACCGCGGGAGGTGGGGCATCCAAGGTGGGAAGTGGCAGGTAGGGAGATGGGAAGAGGAATTTACCACAGCAGGTGGGAACTGGCAGGCAGGGAGACGGGAAGAGGAATTTACCGCAGGAGATGGGACATTCAGGGGCATCCAATGGAGACGATTACGACATGACATGGGACATCCAAGGTGGGAAGTGGCAGGTAGGGAGAGGGAAGAGGAATTTACCGCGGGAGGTTGGGCATCGTGGGAACTGGCAGGTAGGGAGATGGGAAGAGGAATTTAGCACAGGAGATGGGACATCCAAGGTGGGAACTGGCAGGCAGGGAGACGGGAAGAGAATTTACCGCAGGAGATGGGACATTCAAGGGAGACGAATTTACCACATGACATGGGACTTCCAAGGCCGAACTGGCAGGTAGGGAGACGGGAAGAGGAATTTACCGCGGGAGGTTGGGCATCGTGGGAACTGGCAGGTAGGGAGATGGGAAGAGGAATTTAGCGCAGGAGATGGGACATCAAGGTGGGAACTGGCAGGCAGGGAGACAGAAGAGGATTTACCGCAGGAGATGGGACATCCGGGAGACGAATTACCCATGACATGGGACTCCAAGGCCGGAACTGGCAGGTAGGGAGACGGGAAGAGGATTTACCGTGGGAGGTGGGGCATCCAAGGTGGGAAGTGGCAGGTAGGGAGATGGGAAGAGGAATTTACCACAGCAGGTGGGAACTGGCAGGCAGGGAGACGGGAAGAGGAATTTACCGCAGGAGATGGGACATCAGGGACATCCAATGGAGACGAATTTACGACATGACATGGGACGTCCAAGGCCGGAACTGGCAGGTAGGGAGACGCGAAGAGGAATTTACCGCGGGAGGTTGGGCATCGTGGGAACTGGCAGGTAGGGAGATGGGAAGAGGAATTTAGCACAGGAGATGGGACATCCAAGGTGGGAACTGGCAGGCAGGGAGACAGGAAGAGGAATTTAACCGCAGGAGATGGCAGACATGTCAAAGGCCGGAACTGACCACAGGAGATGGGACATCCAAGATGGGAACTGGCAGATAGGGAGATGGGAAGAGGAATTTACCGAAAGAGATGGGACATCCAAGGGAGACGAATTTACCACATGACATGGGACTTCCAAGGGAACTGGCAGGAGACGGGAAGAGGAATTTACCGCGGGAGGTTGGGCATCGTGGGAACTGGCAGGTAGGGAGATGGGAAGAGGAATTTTACCACAGGAGATGGGATGGGACACCTAAGCTGGGAACTGGCAGGTGGGGAGATGGGAAGAGGAATTTACCACAGGAGATCGCCCATGGGACATCCAAGGGAGACGAATTTACCACATGACATGGACTTCCAAGGCCGGAACTGGCAGGTAGGGAGACGGGAAGAGGAATTTACCGCGGGAGGTTGGGCATCGTGGGAACTGGCAGGTAGGGAGATGGGAAGAGGAATTTAGCACAGGAGATGGGACATCCAAGGTGGGAACTGGCAGGCAGGGAGACAGGAAGAGGAATTTTACCGCAGGAGATGGGACATCCAAGGGAGACGAATTTACCACATGACATGGGACTTCCAAGGCCGGAACTGGCAGGTAGGGAGACGGGAAAGGAATTTACCGCGGGAGGTTGGGCATCGTGGGAACTGGCAGGTAGGGAGATGGGAAGAGGAATTTAGCACAGGAGATGGGACATCCAAGGTGGGAACTGGCAGGCAGGGAGACGGAAGAGGAATTTACCGCAGGAGATGGGACATCCAAGGGAGACGAATTTACCACATGACATGGGACTTCCAAGGCCGGAACTGGCAGGTAGGGAGACGGGAAGAAGAATTTACCGCGGGAGGTTGGGCATCGTGGGAACTGGCAGGTAGGGAGATGGGAAGAGGAATTTAGCCACATCCAAGGTGGGAACTGGCAGATAGGGAGATGGGAAGAGGAATTTACCGCAGGAGATGGGACATCCAAGGGAGACGAATTTACCACATGACATGGGACTTCCAAGGCCGGAACTGGCAGGTAGGGAGACGGGAAGAGGAATTTACCGCGGGAGGTTGGGCATCGTGGGAACTGGCAGGTAGGGAGATGGGAAATTTAGCACAGGAGATGGGACATCCAAGGTGGGAACTGGCAGGCAGGGAGACAGGAAGAGGAATTTAGCACAGGAGATGGGACATCCAAGGTGGGAACTGGCAGGCAGGGAGACAGGAAGAGGAATTTACCGCAGGAGATGGGACATCCAAGGTGGGAACTGGCAGGCAGGGAGATGGGAAGAGGAATTTACCGCAGGAGATGGGACATCCAAGGTGGGAACTGGCAGGCAGGGAGACAGGAAGAGGAATTTACCGCAGGAGATGGGACATCCAAGGGAGACGAATTTACCACATGACATGGGACTTCCAAGAGCCCGGCTCGAGGACTTCGACCCGGCAACGGAGGTAAGCCACACATAAAACTTGCTTTCCGGCACTCATTCCTCCTTTTTGGACGTGCCATGCATGCAGGTTTTTGATATGCAAAGTGCATACCCCTATACATAGTTATATTGGTCCTTCAGACCGTTTCAACATCCAAGACCACTGGCCCATATGGCAGGGCAAGGTCACAAATTTGGAGCTTTGCAGTCCATATGGCAGGACGCTCCCACAACTTTTGGACTCCCTTCCCCCTTACCCAGCGTACTGGGTGGTGAGGGTGGGTCTGATGACACATTGAACCGAAAAACGGCCAAACGGTTTCATTCATCCGTCAAGCAAACAGTCGAAACGACTCACATGCTTTCCGGCACTCATTCCTCCTTTTTGGACGTGCCATGCATGCAGGTTTTTGATATGCAAAGTGCATACCCCTATACATAGTTATATTGGTCCTTCAGACCGTTTCAACATCCAAGACCACTGGCCCATATGGCAGGGCAAGGTCACAAATTTGGAGCTTTGCAGTCCATATGGCAGGACGCTCCCACAACTTTTGGACTCCCTTCCACGTGCCCCAGCAGCGAAGCAGCTGCTTGACCTGTCCTCAGGTCGACCAAAAAGCACGGTAAGAGACTACCAGCTCTTTAGAGGCAACCAGTCCGGGAAGCTGGGAAAGGGCACCACACAAATAAAGGCGCGCCACACTAGCGACCTCGAAGCAGGGTCTGCTCCATATTGCCTGTGCGGGCATAAAATGCCGTCGCACCTCCCCGTCTGAGAGAGTATCCTCTAAACTGTAGATGTTCGACACCGAAGAATTTGAATAACTCGTATAGGGCCTTCCTGAAGGCGGTTCCTGTGTGCACCCAAATTGGAACCTTATAAAGCCTACATTCACGTTTGTAAAGCACCAATTCATGGAGGGCCAGAAGGGCCGGTTCTGTAATGGTCACCGATTCTTTGTTGTTATGCCACGTTCGCCCTTTGCTGACTGGCAAGCTGACGATACCATTGCGTTCTCCCAGTAGTAAGTCCATTGGTCTGATTGAGAGAAGCTCACCAGTCCGAAGAAAGCAATGGAACCCAAGTCCTAACAGGCTAGCCAGGTCAAATTGACCAGCTTGCACCGCTTTGGACATCAACGCCCATAACAGGTCCTCCGGCAGAGGAGGGGCCCTCGACGGGACCTCCATTTTTCGCCAATTGGCAAATAATTTCCAACTGCCAGGAAGCCTTCGCCGAGTAGAGGGCAGGAAATAGTGCATTCCGCTCAATGCATCGGCGACCACATTGAGCGGGGCTCCTTTGTGAAACTGGGCTTCGATCCAATCGGAGATTTGTTCGTCCATGTCCTCCATTGAGGTCACCTGAACAACATCCTTGCAAAGCAGTGAGACTGAGTTGTAATAGCGTTCCTGAGTCTTCTTTGAGATTCCAGCGTCACGGAGCACAATATGACGTCTAGCCCGTTGTCTTGCACGGCGTGTGCGAAGACCAGCAAAACTAGGCCACCGTCCCATGGCGGAGATCAGGCTCTACTTGCGTCATCCGTGGGATTATCCGTAGATTCCACATGGGTGAGCACGGGGTGCAATTGAAATCCTAACTGCACCGCCGAAATCTGTCTCATGATGGACATTAAAGCAGTGCTACTGGACCTACCCTTAGAAACTATGGACATGCTAACGTAGCTGTCCGTCAAATGTATGAACCTGCAATGACATTCGCCTAATCTCTGTACACGCCATCTGAGTGCTAAAAGAATGCTACGGAGCTCCAACCGGTTGATGTGCTCTGCTTTCTGCCATCTGCAGTTGAAGACATGCCGCCAACACCACCATGCGGAGCAAGCGCTCTGCCGTGGGTACGCTTTAGGATTCATCACTGCACCACTGCTAATACGAACATCACTTCCAGTATGGTTCACCCTTGCTAGCAATAGCCTTGTTAACTGATGGACAGCAACAGGCTCAGCAGAGGTACTTCCATAAACCAGTTTTCTTGCCAGAGGGCACGTTGCGTCAGGAGGTGCACAGAACCCTGGTGCCATACCCATTCGGTTACACAAGTGTTTGTAGGTCATCCCCGGTAGAGCACGCGCACAGGAGCCCCAGGCAAAGATCACAAAAGAGTACATAGAGAAACTATCCCCCACTAAGCTACACCTGGCGTCCTCATAGTCCTGATAGTTCTTCTTGATATCGCTTGCTGAGAGTGCTAGTTCTGTGTGACCCCATCCATAGCCGTGGAGAAGCTCTCTCTCACTTCCTTCGAGTAATCTCCACCCTTTCTTTGACCAAAGAACATACTGGGATTTGTACAGGAGGGTACCTGAAGTCGTCACTTGCCCACCGCTGTTGAGCATCAACTGGAGTTCGGGATAGTCCCGCGGTGCGGGAGGCGGTCTGTTCCTCTTAATGGCTTTCATGCATGTTGGGAAGACTGTCTTCGGATCCACTGGCGTCCAGGTACTGTCTTCTCGAATCCACTGTTCTACCAGGGGATACTCATTTGGGGCAGTGATTTCAAAATAATTTTCCTTTTCCAAAACCTTTATACCTGGAAGAGCTGGGAGAGACCTGTTCGTCCAGCAGAATCGCGGTCGCGAAATTGGTACTGCCTCTGAGCATTGCACGCGATATGGCTTCACCCCTAACGCTGCACTGATTTGGTCCGCTGCAGACTTGTCCATGGAAGCTACGTTCTCAACAAAGAAAATGATTTTGAAACGCCGACCAAAGACTTGTCGAAGCAACTCCAGAATCCGCAAGATTTCACTGAACAAGCCACTTTGCTCCCCATCCAAGTTACTTCTTCCAAACTTGACTGCACTAAGGTCCACGCACGGGAAGCCCCCCCATAGGTGTACTTCCTCAATGTGAGGGTATTGAAGCAACCACCCAAAAACTACCTTCCTGTCAATCTCCCGAACGTCCCCTCCTAGAACTGCATGAGGCCATCTCCTCGCTGTTATACGATTGGCTGTCTTGCTCAGGTCATACCCAATGAGAGCGGTAGGTTCAACTCCAACCAGATCGTAAGCACGGAATGCCCCTCCAATACCGTTGAAAAGAGAAACCACGAGGTATGGGAGCTTCACACCCAAGACCGGAGACCTACCCAAGGAGCGACAGAAGTCCTTACCTACCTCCGACAGCTCATCCGACCTCCCAACGGCACCACCTGTACCTGAAGCGTCAGAAGCAGTCGCAACATCACTCACCTCGGCCCCCAAGAAAGTATGGAAAAGGCAGCTTCCCAGCATCAAAAGGCAGAGCTCCCTCCGGGCTTTAAGTTGCTGATCGGCCGACACGTACTTGCCTCCTATCCATTTCCAAATGACCTGAGCAATGCTCATCCCTGCACGTCTGAACTGAAGTACGTGTACCCACCTGCCAGCAACCACCTGAAGCCACTTACGGGGCACCCTTCTTCTCGACAAAACCAAGCATGTTGTTTGCAGAAGTTTCACCATTCGCTCCGCAGACACCCCCAGTACCTTAGTAGAACCGTCAAAGCGCGCCCCAAGCTCCTGCACCTGCTGTGCGTTGACCACCCGCTTCTTTTCAGATGAAATGACACCTGCTTGAGCCCATGCCTCCTCCGCAGCGCAGTGTAGTTCAGCAGCCCCGCCACCAATCTCACCAGGTCCCAACCGTTCTCCCGAGAAGAAGTTGTCCAAGTAGACATGAAACCAGGAACGCACCGTGTTCTTTGCGACCTCAAGAACCTCTACCAACCAAACCGGTAGGGGCCTAGTCCTCGAAATCAACCTTTCCTGTGCCAACCCATGTCTGCTGAGAAGATTCTGACTCACCTCTTGCATCACGGAGACTGCACTACTCCAACCCATTGGCAAAACGGAACAACTCAAGTAGAACTTCTTGGCAGGGCTTAGATGAATAAGAGACCCATTCACGCAAAAGTTAAACGCGAGGAACCTACGCCACGCAGATGGAAGTCTGAAAAGATAGAACGCGCTGGTCATATCGCTCTGGCAGAACTGTACTCTTTCACCCTCAGACAGCACCATTGAAAGATATTGAGTGATACCCGGAAGCTCAGAGACCATTCCCGAGAGTTGAGTCATCACGGCATTTGCAGGTATCAAGTTCATGATAACTCTAAGATGCGGTCGTCCATCGGGCAAAAGTGTAGGTTTGGCGACCCCGAACATTCCACTTAGCACTGCCTCACCTCGATACCTAAAAACCTCATCCTCTGAAATCCACGCGCAGATTCCACGTTCAACCAGCAGCTCAGCCACTTTCATTCGGTCCTCTTCTACTATATGAACTTTGGATTGAAGTCTCGGCAGTTGCTGCCCTTCATCAACAACAACGCAGTCATCAGGGTGCAGCAAGAAGCTCCTAGTCCTACCACTCGTCCACTGAGTAACATCGACCGATCCCCCATGTCCCGGGGGAGGAAGTGCAGGTGTGATTTGGGCCAGGCTCAGCGGCTCCATCCTAGGCACTTCTTCCCCCGTGTAACTCACGAACCGTAAGCTAAGTTCTTTTTCCACCTCGCGGGCACTGCGCGGCACTGTCGTGTCCTCAGCCAAGGCACGCTGTACTGCCGCACGAACATTGTCCACGGCGGAGACATCTGTCTTGCGCCAGCGGCCCATCGGCACGCCTCTGCTACCATGCAACCAATTAAGGCACAGCACGGACACCAGAGTCCAGCTGTCAATACAATGCCGGCTTACAAACAGCTCGGACTTTGCATTCTCATAGGAAGTCGTCTCGATCATCCTGACTGTACTATCCAACTGTCCAAGTCGGATTGGAAAGACCCCTTTACCAAGGGGCCGATGCACGGCACTTGAACCAGCATCTAGGAAAGGAAGCACCTTCGACAAAGCAGATGCGACTCCCATCCTCACACTCTGCGCACGGGCATGAATGACGACCCAGCACAACAGTGTTCCGAATTGCTTGAGGGAGGTTGCCTCCTCACATATAGTTGCAAAGGCTTCCCAGCCTTCCAGAGCCGCCCCATGCAACCCGCGGGGCCCCTGTTTCTCAACCTCCCTCACTTGTCTGTCTTCCCCTCCTTGCTGGAGGGCTTGCTGTCCTTGCCGTCTGGCTTGTCCTTCTGACTGGCCCACCATCCTGAGGACCACTTGTTCCATCCCCCGCCAGTATTGTTGCCTCCATCTCCTCGGCCTCCTTTTGACCAGGGCTTTCCTTTGCCTTTGCCTTTTCCTTTTTGTTCCGCTGCTTTTCCACCTCCTTTCCAGCCCTCCCCCTCGCTTCGGGGTCTCCTCCAGTCTTCGTTTCCTGGAGTCTGGCTGCGGTTCACCAGCTTGCCATGTTTCTTGGCTTCGAGGAGGAGGGCTGTCGGTGCACCCTGAGTGGGTTCTAGAGGGTGAAGTTCCAGGTACTGTGCTGACCTCCAAGTACCTTCGTTCACCGCAGTGTGTATCGCTAAGTACCGGGAAGCCAGGGAATCGCCCAGTTTTCCCAGCTCCCCGGCCCTCAGCTCGTCCAGGCACACTGCAAGGTGATGCATGTCCCTGCTGGTGGCACTGTGGTATGGTCTCACCAGCAGGTTGAAGTAAGATGCCATCTTCACCCCCTCCGTCACATTGCCTGACTTGGTGGTTTCCACCAAGGCAGACTGGTCGAGGGATGCCTTGGCGTGCTCCACCAGCATTCTGAGCACGGCGCCAGGCTGCCGGCTCGAACGCTTCTGGAGCGGTGCCAGCATCTCGCTCGAGCTGCTGCTCTCCTCCTCCTCTCCATAGGAGGAGTCCCCGCTGCTGCCGGATGGGGACCCCTCCTCCTTCTTCCTTCTCCTCTTCACCTCCTTTGCTTTCCGCCGCTTGCTGCCTGAGCTCTTTGTCTTGTTGGCTTCTCCTCCAGTCAAGAGCTTCACCAACGCCTTTGCCCTTTCTAAGCCTGAGCTCTTGCCTTCTCCTCTCTGCTTCTTTCCTCTCTTCTCCTCCTTCCTGACTTCGTCCCTCTGCGCGGCCTGCGCCAGCAGTTGGGAAGCAGGATCCTTGGGGGTCTTCTTCTTTTTCTTCTTTTTCCGTTTCTCTGGACGCTCCTCTGAATCCTCCACTTCTTCGGACTCCTCCTGCTTTGCCTCTACCAGGGCCAGCGTGGTCTGAGGATTGGAGGCCTCTCTCCTCTTCTTTTCTCTCCTGCCCTCTTCCAAGGATCCTTCCATTGCCTCGGAGAAGGTAGGAGAATACTCTTCGCTGTCCTCGACCAGAATGGGCTCTGCGGCTCCACCACCCGACTTTGCCTTCAGGCCTTCTCTCAGCTTGCGGAGTTTCCCACGCAAGTCTGGTGCCCCAGCTGGTCGTTTCTTTGTAGTTCCTGGCTTTTCTTCTTTCTTTTTGCCTCCAGGTCTCCTGCCTGGTTTTGCACGCTTCCGGCCTTCTCCAGGTGGATCTCCACCGCCGCCTTCCGCTTCTTTTTGCTCCTCGTCGGTGCCTCGTAGAAACTGCCTTCCCCACGCCTTGAGATAGGGCGCTTCGAAGGTGCCCCGCTTGAAGAACCTCGCACGAACTACATGCACCGCCTCCCCACCAAGATCCAATGCGCACGGCTCTTGCCAGCACAAATGGAGGGGGAGGCGGCGCCGGTTCAGCAAGTTTGTAAGGGTTTTGCCAACTTCCTCGTCGTTGCACCCCAAGCACCGCCCTCTCAACAGTAGGCTGCCATCCATGTAGTTTGAAAACTCTCTGATAAGGTATGCTGCGTGGGCACCGGAACCCAGGTGGTCTGCCACCAAACGTGCCGTGAACTCCACGACATCCCCAGGTTCCAGTTGCAGACCTTCCCAAATTGGAGAGTCCTCCACTGAAAGCCATTGTCCGTAAGGTGTTCCTTCAGCACCTTCCTCTGCCATCTCACCTTTGCTTTCGCTCACGCCGGTCGTCCAACCGGGGCCTTTCGGCCAGCAAAGACTCGGGCAGTCCTCGATGGATCACACGGTACGGGTCCTCAGCCAGACGCCACACCCGTTTGTGCTTCTTTCCTCCTCTGTTGCCTTTCTTCTTCTTTTTCTTGTGTTTCTTCTCGTCTCCTGGAAGTCTTTCTTCAGCAGCTTCCTCTCTTCCCTCTCTGGGATTCCTTGGACTCCTGTCCTTTCTCTTTTTCTTTTCTGCCTTCTTCTCACGTCTCTGTTCTTCTTCTTCCTGTATCCTCTTCAGCCTCTCTTCACTACGCTCTTCCTCCTTGACCTTTCTTTTCAACGGCGAAGGTGAGGTAGCTCGTGCCCTCTCAGAGCGATGGCTGGTGTCCTCACGCTTGTCAGGCGCCTTCTCAGCGTCCTCGGCTTTGTCTTCCTCCTCAGACTCCTCCTCGTACGTGTACTCCTCGCTTTCTTGCGCCGGCCGGGCTGCGGCTTTTGCGGCTGACTTCGCAGCCAGCCCGGAGGGTGCACGGGCACTAGCACTGGCAGCAGGTTCCGATGCAGCGGCCTCGACCGGTTCAGCACCGCTTTCCCTGGGGGCGCGGCCAATGCCAGCTCCCAAGGATCGCAATGCACGAACCTCGCGGGTCACTGCAAGGGTCAGGCCGTTAGCAACGGTCTTAAGACCAGCTGGCCCTGACCACCTGCTGGCCAGTTCCTTGCCCAGCACCTCCCAGGCCCCGCAACCCTCACACCAGCTATCGCCCGCCACACGCTCAGACTGGTGGCACTTGTTACACTTGCCACTCATCTGATGACACTTTGAACCGAAAAACGGCCAAACGGTTTCATTCATCCGTCAAGCAAACAGTCGAAACGACTCACATTGGCGCAACGGGGGTAACACACAGGGTCAACGGGGAAGCCTATAACGGGAGGGACACAACGAGAAAATGAGAAATGTCACGTTTATGGTGGGTAAATGAGAAAAAACTTATTGTGTAATTTTTTGAAATCTTAAAATTGTGCATATGTGTTTAATAATAGTTAGATAATTTTCAAAGGCTTGGTGTGCCCTGTGTATGCACAGGTAGTTCATGCAACTCTATATACGAAATGTGAGTTATCTAAGGTTCAATGTTGTTCAATCTTGGTATCAATAAAAATCGTATTCAATTTTCATGCATGTAAAGCACATGACATGTATAGCATTATATATACATATATATATATAATATATTTGACGACGCTCAATCCTGTATTTTGTAGACAAAGTTTGAACTGGTGGCCCTGCACTGGCTCGAGAGGTGTTTGCACCTCCTTATTTGCCGCACTATTTTGTAGAGAAAATGATCACAGGGATCTGCTAAATACGTGCTAGGTAGCTGCTAAATAGTTGCTGAATACACGCTAAATGTCTGCCAAATAGTTGCTAAATAGTTACCTGTATTAAATAGCTGCTAAATAGCTTTAGTAGCCGCCAAATAGTTACTGAAATAGCTGCTAAATAGCTAAAAAAACTGCTAAATAACCGCTAAATAGTTTTAAAGCTTCTAAATAGCTGCTCAATAGTTGCTAAATAGTTGCTAAATAGCTGCTAAATAGCAGCTAAATAGTTGCTAAATAGCTGCTCAATAGTTGCTACATAGTTGCTAAATAGCTGCTAAATAGCTGCTAAATAGTTGCTAAATAGCTTCTAAATGGTTTCTAAATAGTTGCTGAATAACTACTAAATAGGTGCAAAATAACTTCTAAATAGTTGCTGAATAATTGACAAATGGCTTCTAAATAGCTTCAAAATAGTTGGTAAATAGCTGCTGAATAAATGCTAAAGAATTGCCAAGTAGCTTCTGAATAGCTGCTAGATAGTTGCTAAATAGAACGAGGTGAATGGATTCATGTGACTTTGGAATATTCTAACAGCTGACGTATAATGTTGGATTATTCTAACTGCTAGCAGGTAGTCATACACTCATATACTATCTTTGTGTGGGATGTGAAATGCACAGTGTGTCAGTTTAGTTGACATGACACGTTTTGCATCTTTTAGAACCCAAACAATTGCAGAGGTCCCGTGTCATGTGATTTTTTTTTGCGAGGCACTTTACAGATGACATGGGACTTATGCATTTTTCTGCTTTTTTCACTTTACAGATGACATGGGAGTTTTCGTTTTTTGGGTATGTTCGACAACTCCCATGTCATCTGCAGGTACTATATATTCACCAAACTTTTCCAGACCGAAAATTCATGCGTCGACAACCATGGGACTGAGGGTTGACAAGTCAACATTCAAATGACCCGCTGCCTGCGTCTGTGGGTTGATCTGATAGAGATGCTGCCTCAGGTGTCGCTGGAGCAGCTACTTTAGAGTGTGGCCATAGGGCCATAGGGCCATAGTCATTAATAGTGGATGAACCCTCATAGTTACATAAAATCACACAAATGTACCATATTTAAACTGGAAAAATGATGATAAACCGATAAACCGTTACAAACCCTAAACTTTGCGTGCATAAAAGGACACAAAGCCATGTTGAGACCTGCAGAAGAATCATCAGGTGTTTGCAGATTCTAAAGTTGGCAATAATATCAATGACTATCACACGTTTAACACGTTTATGCATAAAGTTGTACAAGGGCATCTTGTAGCTTTACATAGCTTTACCATCATAGGCCCTATTTACATCTGCAAGTATTTACCAAGCAATACATTTCACGGTTTTACTGCTGGTTTCCTGGGTGCCCCTGCAAGGGCATCATAACACCCTTACGCTGACTGAAGAGCACCTCGAATCAGCGATCGCGTGAGGGTGTACACAGAACAAGGTCCTGTAACCGCCCCAAAATGCAGACAATTGAGTTTGTCCCAAAATTGGGCATGCCCCAAATTTCCATAAATATCATAATTGGGAACATGTTTGAGTCCGGAATTAGAGGTGCCTTCAAGACAGAAGCCAAGGCAGAGCCGTGTAGCCCATTGCCAATGTTCGTCTTCACCTCATCCCAGGCGCGTTTTTTGCTGTGACACTCCCTGCTTTTTTGGCAAGAGGTCACTAGTCAATTGAGATTGATTAAACGAGATTGTGCGGGGACAAAACAACAAATCAGGGCCATGAGAAATGTGCTGCTTTGCAGAATACTGGATACAATTGATACAGTATTGATACAATATTGATTCAATATGATACAATCATCTCATTCTGCAAGGCTATTTGATGGGCTGCGATCAAGCCACGGCCGAGGTGTGCAAAGGGAGGCGATCCATGCCAACACCCCTTGGTCCGGTGCGAGGTTCTAATGGGCCCATGATACTTTTGGATTTGAAGCCAGAGAAACGATTCTTGGAGGTCTACACTCTTCGTTCCGGGAAGCTCCAGGCAATCATCCTACTGTGGCAACCTAAGGAAAGGATCTGGAATACAAGTGCCGCCAGGCGGACCACATCCATTAAGCAAAACATGCCCAAAATCATGATGCCGACTCAGCCTCTGCTGGTGTCACACAAAAAAGCTTTGTTTTTGTGTTTGCTTGCCAGTGTGGCAATGCAGAATGCGGGTATACGATGATACCCATATCATGACATTGTCATGATATCTGTGACTTCTTGGGCACCGAACAAGGCTGTGCAAAGGGATTTCACCTCACGGGTTCAGCGCACAGGTTGTGATTTTGTCGCCATATCTTATGTGAGCGCTCATGTCGGTATACTAAATGTAAACAAACTATCATACAAGCTACTATGTATACATATATATATACATATATACATATATATATATCATAATTAATATATATATATATACAATGTATATATCATAATATATATATATATCATAATATATATATATATCATAATATATACACATGTCATAATATATATATATAATGATAATATATATATATATATCATAATATATATATCATTATATATATATCACAATATATCATATATTTATATCATCATCATCATCATCATCATCATCATCATCATCATCACATATATATATATGTATATATACATATCGTAATATGATATATATATATATGGTGTACACAGACATGATGTCATATCATGTCATTCTGAGAGGAGACAGAAAGCACTGCCAAACAAACCAACCATCAGCGCTTCACACAGGCTGTTCCTTCCTGATCTCAAAGAAAGATTCCGTTAGGAAATCAACCGAGGGCCTATCACAATGAAGGAGCGCAACCTACCACCAATGCTAAGTACAGCGCTATGAACAGCCAAAAGACCCAACACTGCCAGCGCTGAAAGCAACATCAAGAAGCGCAGGAAAATTAATACAATGCCAATCAATTGCAATCAATTACAATCAACTACATAAAATTAATCATCAATCAAGATTCAAGATCAATCATCCTCGTCTTTGTCCCATTTGCCACCCGTCTCAATATCGTCGATGTCGTTATCATCATCGCTGTGACACTCATCACCATCACCATCACCATTGACATCAAGACAGGATGGCGTAGCCGACCTCGATGGCATCCGAAAGTGCCAAAGCTTCCCCATGGCACTCCATGGCATCCACTGAGCTGCACTGAAGGCTGCTGTGACGACAAGCCTCGGCCCAGGCCATGCCAACTGCAATCTGAGACTTTTTAAGCGGATGTTGGGGGTGATTTTAGAGACTCGAACATCGTCTAACATTAATAGATTTGAAGATTGTCTCGAACCAAGAAGAATGGGACACATGGCCGTATTAGAATTCCGGACACATTCTATCTGGCGGTTGAGGTCCAGCGGTGCTCACTGAGCTCGGAAGGTCCCAGGTTGAGGTCCAGCGGTGCTCACTGAGCTCGGCGGGTCCCAGGCCCCACAGCAAATCGCAAAACACTGAACCTCTTAATTAGTCAGTTGGGATCATCATCCCACTTAAAAGGATGGAAATATCTAACACCAAAAACTAGCTCTTTAGCACACTTCTTCAATCTGTGTATGTGTTTTTAATATTGTTATGTTCTGGTCTCCCAACATTCTGAAATCTCCAACCATTCAACAAATTGTACCTATCAAACGCAACTGGCCCAGCCCTGACCAAGTGACATCCACCAGGATTTTCTGCACTGCCGGTCCATGAGGTGTGTCCAGCGTTGCTGCCTACCAGGATAGGCACACCCTAGAGAGGGTCCCCCCTGGTGATGCCACGCAGGTCTTGCCATCATACATTTTTCTTTGGTGTCTGTCTGATGGTGTCTGTCTGATGGTGTCTGTCTGATGGTGTCTGCCTGGCTTATTTGATGTGCAATGAGGGAAGCCCTTGCGTCCAAGCCCATTTGAAAAGGCATCAACATCATCAACCGTTAAATATCGTTATATAAATGGATTGTCACAAACCAGAATCAGAAGACGAACCCCAGACGTACTCGTCCAAATAGGTCTGCTCTGAATATGATTCTTCAGCATCTTTTGCCACAGAAACAAACAACTCAGTCTGAAATGCTATGTAGTCTGCTCTTCAAGGCCTTTTCGGCTCTTCTGGGCCTTTTCGGCAAATATTGAAGAGACTGAGCCCGGCGTTTCTGCGAATTGCGAAGTTCCACAAGTTTCGATTTTGATTCTGCCCCAACTTGGAAAATAGATTGAAAAGAAAACTTGCATTTTCACTTCCTGGAGGTCATAGACCGGAAACGTGTCCCCGTCCTATGGTACTTCGCTTGCACTCAACCGCGTGCTTTGCACGCCTAAACGATCATGGCGTCCAACCCTTCAACGGCTGTCTGCTCATGCATCCCTACCAAGACTTGGAGAGCCCTGGCTTCAAGCCATTGCTGTTACAAAGTGTTGGATGGCATCATAGTCGAGAAAAACACAAGATTGTGACAACCGTCTGAGATCCCCAATCCCAAAGCCGAAGTTCGAAGTTCTTATTTAATTCATATAACTGTTCTGTTGGAATCAAGACTGTTCTGGGTGCGCGCGCAAGCGCAGAGACGCACCGCGCAACAAACCGATAGGATCCGATAGGTCAAAGGGAAGAGTTTTGGGCTTGAAGCTTCAGATCGTCGGAGATTTCGCTCCTGAGATCGCATGGTGAATATGTGGGTGCACAGTCCAGCCCATCGCCTTTCGGCCTAACATGCTGTGAGGTACGTGAAATCAATGGTTTATAGATGGTATATTATGTATGTATATATATATATATATGCAAGTGAATTGTATATTATACATCATTATATCATACCATATCATATTATATTATATATTATATTATTTATTATATTATATGTCATATTATATTATATTGTATTATATTGTATTATAACATATTGGATTATAATATTACATTTTACTTTATTATAATGTGTTTGCAATGATATATATATATATATATATATGCATGTCACATAAATCATGTAATTATCTAATATTGTCTAATCATCTCTATCTATCTATACGTAGTTAGATGAGGTTATGAACCAACTAAAAAGCTGGGTGGCTTCCTGTGTCTTTCAGATCTCTCTTGCCACGCGCCCCGGAGTGACTCCGAGGCTCTTTTCCAACCACTGCAAGAACTTGGTGAAATTCTCGTAAAAGGGTTGTCGAGCGACCACCTCAGGTTTCGCAGGAAAGACCCTCGAAAGACCCTGCTTTCAAGAACCACTCTGGTCACCAGTCGTGAGAACCTAAGGAATTCGAATGATAGATATGACAGCAGAGATGGACAAACTTGGAGTGTGCCATTTCGTGCACTCTGGGTAGCACTCCCGTACCATGCACTTAGGGATCAAAATCCAGAAACAATGCAAGTGAACAGTGATCAACTGAGATCGCACGCAAGTCTCATTGTGCAGTCTTCCTGTCCCGGCCTCCAAGTTGTTGTGACCCCCATTCTCCACCAGGTATGGTGGATAAGCAATGCCCTCCTGACAGTTCCGCACCAAATCTTCTGCGTGTGAGTAGGAGATGACCTCATCATTGGTTCCGTGCACGATGTACACGGGACATTTCACCTCAGGCGCTGTTGCAATTTCCGAACTGATCAGCCGAGTAAGAAACGCCACCCTTTTCAGTGGCAAAATCATGCAAAGCTCTGAACGGTCAAAAAAATGTTGCTCAGCACCGGGCCTGTCCGATCCGGTCCACATTGGGAAACATGTCTCCAGGAAGAGTGAAGCTTGAGGAGAATGCTACACGGTATATGGAGAGCAACGGGCCTTGGTGCCAACTCTCCCTGTCCACAATAGATGTGCGTGGCGTTTCGGCTGCGTTGCATGTCGCAACATTTGAATCTAAAGTGAATGGACTGTCTGGATGGCGTGGGGATTCTGGAGCCCCTTTCAAAAGTTGCATCAAGAAAATAACGCATATAAAGAATATCAAAGAATGACGTTTCGGCCAGTGTGAAATTGCGATGTCTTCCTTCGAAAGAAAAGCGTCCTCCAGCCCAAGTCACAGCAAGGCGACCGGAATCCGACCCAGAGTGACAGTAGAAATTTGGTGGCTTCCTCTAACATAATACTATATATGTATATAGCATATATGTAATATGATGTGTATATATATATGTATACATATTACATTGTGGTTGTATACATATATATATATAATATTGCGGTTGGGCATCAAAAACTAAGACCTAAAGGATCACAGATTGGGGGGTCGTAAGGCCGTAGCCAAGTTTGATCCAGAGCTTGGTGTGATCCAGCGCCACAGCGGGTGTTAAACTTGGACTAAATATAAATATATATATATACAACATATATATATAACCTGTATCCGTGTATTCTTTCAGTAATCACACATGGCTGGGAATACCCAACACAAATGGCTATCGAAATGGGAAATTCATCGAACCATGTGCAAAATTCTCCAGCAAACCATGTTTGATTACCCAAGGGCAACAACATTCACCATGTTCACACGGGTTATAATTATTAGAGTGACAGTTCAACAGTCCATGATGTTCGAATCCACAATCAATTTTACCAAATATTTTACCCAATCATTGGGTCATTGGGCCATCTATAATTGGTAGAATCCTTGGTATCCCCTCAACCACTGGGCTTTGCTGAGTAGCTTTGGAGCACCATCGCTCGTACCGCCGTCCGGGTAGCCAGGTGAATGGATGGCCCCGAGCCGATGGAGCGACCGTAGAGGATGATATCACCTGAGATCCAACGGCATTGGCCAGTTCCACAGTGGCTATATTTTATCATAGTATATATAGTGTGTATATGTATGTATGTCATAGGTAAAAGGGCTGTCCCAAGTTAATGCCCACTATTGCCCATGGATTTATGGATAGTGATGGGTTTTAACCATGGTTTTATCGATTTATGAGCCCGGCTGCAGCCCCAAAAGCCGAGATGAGCCAAGCCACTCCAGGGAATGCCCACAATGTCCCTGAGATATTTGAAGGCTGCTTCAATATCTGCATACAGCGCTTCTTCTGAGGGTTCCCCTGAGCTCATCCCATAGCCTGTGTAGTCGTAGGCAAAAATGTTGACATCTAAAATGTGGCTCACTTCACCTCAGATGTCACATTGGAAGAATGTCATTCTAGGAGATCTAAAATGTTGACATCTCAAAAGGCCAAACTTTGGGCTGCAAAATGAGTTACTCACTGGCGAACTGGAAGAATGGAATACTGGACTTTGACCTATGCAATACCTACAACACCCACAATCCAGTCACAGTCCTCTACTAGTGCTGATGATCCAGGGTACTACAGGTTGGGCTACAAGATGCTACAAGCAAACCATGAGAATGAGTGGTTGATAGAATCATATGGGATCCCAAACTGGTGCATTTCTGCCCCGTCCTCACTCTTCAGCTTGGAAAAAACTCTATTGCTTCCCAAACTGGCCGCTACCATCACATCGTATCATTGGACCTGGCCGGGAGTACCATGACCATGGCCCCGGGAGTTGTTTTGTAAGGTCCAACTGATGCAGACCAGTTGCGGAAGTATTGAATAATCATCCCCAAATCTTCTGCGTTGCCATGACTGAAGAGCAAGGTAAATTTTGCATCGCGGTCGATGAAAAAGGCTGGGATCACCTGCCGAGAAGAGCCCCGGAGATCCACTTGGATGGTGCAATCTGTGGCTGCAGATTGCTGGGGCTCTCAATAGCTTTCCCAATAGCTTTCCCTATACCACAAAATTGGCTACTTGGAAGATTTCTCCTGTGCCTCGTGTTCAGATGTGTGGAGCCATATGAGATTGGGATCGCGGCCGTAGGTTTTCTCCGGCGGCTGAAAGACGATCCGTGTAATTGCACTTCCCATGGCCCGCAACAGACAAAATCGGTTGTCGGACTTTGGTCACTGCGAGCTGAACAACCGTCAATGGCTGATGTGCAATCTATGCAACAAGCACACGCACATAAAATGTCAGAAATTCAGCGCTTCAACGGACTACTGCTGGATACCTTGTTTCCTGTATTGTTTGATTTGTCCCTGACCCGTTGCGACTTCGCAAGCTTGCACACTGTTGAAGGAACACCGGATCTAAGACTGACTAGTTATCATCAAAGCTTCAACAGCAACGGATTGTGCAGAGAGATTCCATGAGAGACCATGTGCACGAGAAACCAACTAGTAACTAGCAAATTAAATAAACAATGAAGTCTCGCTATGTCCTGTTGGGATATGAAATCATATTATGCATTCATTCATATACTAGGATAGGGATAAATAGTGTATGTTTGTCTGTGAAAGATTTTGAACACATGGTTCAAGCCGACAAGTGGTCTAGCAATGGACTTCCAAGCCACCGATTCATTGAGGCTGTGCATTCTGCGTCGAATGGGCTCTTCTTTCCCAGATCTGTGGCCACGTTCGAAGGCTCAATATGGTTAAATGGGCTCAATCATGTATTGAAAAAAACAGGCTTTCGTATTGGTTTCATGACATCTCATCTCACCAGGCACAATCTGGCTGATATAACATGATATAACCCCCTGATTTCAAATGATCCAATCTTATCAGTAAACTCCTCAACTTATGCGGAGCCATTGTGGAGCCCCAAGAGTTCTTCCATGAGACCAGGGCCACGCCATGCCGCGCCTGACCGCACTGAGTCACGGCCACCCCCGCCAAGGATCCCACGTAGGGCCGATCATCCTCCGGTGCAACGATGATGGCGTGGATTCATGGGATCTGTTGGACATACCCTGAGGAACAATGGTGCTGTGAACGCTTTCAAGATACATGGTCCAACGGTCCAACCCTTCTTTTTCAGGATTCTGCGACCTTGCACCTCCCCTATGCTAGGGAGTGTGCTGTGCATGAGTGCGAACTAGATAGACGAAATAATGACACTTGTCTACAGTATCTTCGTAATTGGCCAATGGTGTATTTACTCTGACAGTTCGCAGCTCTTCAGCTATCTACTCATGTCCCTGCATTGCAAACAGACAAAATACCATTAGCATGACCATGCCTCGTCACTACAAACTGTCGGAGAGGTGCATACATCTATGTAAACATGCATATGTATGTATCTATATATATATGTGTGTTTTCACGGTGTATACATACATGCATTACACTACCTTGCCTTACCATACCCTACCATTCCATTCCATTACATTATATAGATTACATTACGTACGTACATACATTACACACACGTATACCCCATGGATAATATATATATATTATAATATATATATATTATAATATATATATATATATATGGTCTTAAAAAAAAAAAACGGAATGATGATGGGAATGATACTGAATTAAGAATACAATAGAGTAGCAATGATAATACTAATCATGATGATGAAAAATAATGATGAACTAATAACAATTAATGATCACAACTAATAATCACAATAAAAATTAATGTTCCCAATTAATAATAATAATAACAATCAAAAATAATCATAATGATAATACTGATAATATAATTATAATGATAACAACAATGACAATGAGAATGATGATGATAATGGCAATGATGATGATAATGATAATGATGATGATAATAAGAATAATAATGATAATAACGATAATATACATGCATATAGATCAAATACATGGTGACATATATATATATATACATATATTTATACACATGAAGCATGTATATAATTATATATATATATATCATACATTATCATACCATGTATATAGATATCTGTATATATACATACGTACACCGTGCATAGTGCATAGACAAATATACATGTGTAGTATAATACCATCAATGTACATATACACACATATGAGTCATATGAGTACTCACACATAATATAATATATATATATATATACATGTGTGTGTGTGTGCTTCATGTTTGGACGTTGGAATTGGCATGTGGCTGCATGGCCCAGCCCTCCCTTTTTGTCCATCACACTTGCTGTGCTGCTTCATAATGCGGTGAACCAAGCGCTAAGTGACATCTGTTGATGCTAAATCTTCACTGTGGCAAATCACTCCCTCTACAGGACACACCTGTGAAGGAGCAGTGAGTGCCCAGAGCTCTGTTGGCTTTTCTGGCTATGACTTGCAGACACGAAGCAGGGGGTAGCTACTTGCAAAGCTCCAATAGATGTTCATGGAAAAGTTTCTTCCCTAGGCGGAAGGTCACTTGCCAAATGTTGTGTGGCTGTGTCTTGCTGTTTTTTCTTCCAATCCTCTGCATGTGAGCAATAGCAACAACACGATTTGTTGCCATTTCCCGCTATGGCTTTAGCTATGTAATTTCGTGGCGCTCACCATACAGTGTTTCAAATATGTCCGAAATCGTGACAAAATTGTGCCAAATAGACTTGAAAAACGATAAGTACACTGGCATTCAGAAAATCTGGATTTGTTCCCTGCACTACGTGCAGGGGGTATGAAAGTTGAGGCTCGTGCGCTGTGTATGGGTTTCTCTGAAAATAGGGTACCCATAAATCCGCTGGTCCATCGTCACTTTCCCTATGAAAACTGGCGATTTTGGGGAATCACTTGTTGGACACAGCCAAATTTCCAGTGCGATGCCCTCAGACCTTCTTCTTCAAATAACAGCGCCTAGAGGCGACCAAAAAACCATTGCTCAATCACAGAAACGACCCGTTTTAGGCCAGGTTTGAAGGGTCCCAGTATGTCCCAGTTTTCAGAAACGATTGAATAATATTGGAAAATGATAAAAATGAGTGATCATCCTCTGAAAACAACCACTTTGGTTGATGTTGATTCACATTTCTAATCAATGTCAGCATGAGCAGCATTACATACGATTACTAGCAGCCAGTTTGATCATGTTTGATCCAGGTCGCTGTTCTCCCCTCTTGGCACCGTTGGTGACATGTGTCTCGACAAATCATGAAACCAGGAGAATCCAGCCAAGCTGCCAGAAATGTTGGAGTGTTCTCATGAGTCCCAGCATCATCTGAAATCGTGCCCAAGTGTGAAGCGCCTCGGCAATCAGGAGGACTTTGGTGACTTTGACATCTGATGTTGGAGCTCGTGAGCTTCATCTTTCACATATCATCTTGCTTATTTGTGTATGCTGTATATGACCCAAATCTGCACATGGTACATGTCATGTCGATTGCACATACGTACGTCTCTCTTCATTTAAATGCATATAATTTAATATGGTTTATACATATAAGTGTAACTATATGGCACATATAGATCGATGCACTCGCACTGGAATTCCTTCGAAGCCTGTCATAGCCTGTCTGATTTTTGAATCAGCAAGGACTCTGCCAAGCAACAGATGAATGATCCCTCTCGGTGACTTGATTGCCATTCGAATCTATTGATAATGTATCTATATACTTCTCACTGTATCCATGTGTAAGTATCTTTAAATGTCTTTAATACTCCTTATACACGTACCATGGTATAGTTCTTCATTCTGTTATGTTCATAACTGTTCATACATGTGTGTACGTATATTCCAGTATATGATGGAAGGCTGTAAAAGAACTCGCCACGGCAGGCCAAAGGTATCCCACACTGAGACTCGGACTGAGCCTAGGACACCTTGGCGTAAACCCTCCCCAATGACTCACAATGGGTGGTATAAACATGTATGAACCATCCCCAAATTCGAGTTTTATGACATTGGGCTTGCCACATCGTCATAACCTGATCTCATCCAATCATTCCAGAAGGGTCTCCAATCCATGTTGAGAAGATATCAATACATGCTATTCGGAGGTGCAAGGAGTCTGATGTGGCTTCTTCAGTCATTTCGTGTCTGCAACTTGCTGACCTTTCACAAGGGCCCTGGCCGTCCAAACGCAAGCTGCGATAGACCTGGGAGTGGTGACGAAACAGGGAGAAACAGCAGTCTCCGGAAAACCCACCGGATTACTCTCACCGACCCTCAGGTTTCAGTAAGGAAAAATCAATGCATCTATGATATGTTTGGAATCTATTCAAGCTTGAAAAGTAGTTCTTGAAGCTACATGTCTGTACATATGCATAGTCATGTAGTTCTGCAAAACATATGTGCCATGGTCAAACATGGATATGGATTCCTTCTAATGATAACCCTATGAAAATAGGCGGATGATCTCCTTTTATGGGACCATGAGAGCTCTGTAACTTGACCATGGCGTCACCAGTGTCACAATGGAGGCAATGGAGGCATGGGGCCTGACCTCCGGCCACTGCCTCAGAACATAGAGCAGAATCTGCATGAGGATAGCCACAGGCAGCGCAGGGTGCAGATATGCAACACCTGGAGGCACCATGGGGGTACCCATTGTGATCATCCAGTCATGGATGATCATGACGAGTCGTATTGAAACGCATGCTACGACTGGGGATCCCACATGACTTAAGAAACCCTCACATGTTGACCCACAAACAGGTTTGCCTCAAGCAGTTGAAGCTCATCTGGTTTGGATGGTGGATTGTCCGTTCTCAACCCATTGGGAGGCAGGGTGAGTTCAGTATCAAGTGTCGAAAACAGTGGGAAAAAATGAAAAGCCTTAGAAGAAGTATTGTCTCCAAATACATCTCTACCTTGGTTTGCTTTCCAGGGTTGTCTCTTTTTCAAGCAAGTTTGGCTCACAACTGGGTCCTTGTTGTGTGGTTGACTAGTTGGTCCTTAGTCTGAAAAGCCCAGAAATTCCTGGATTCAAGCGGGAAACTGTGCCTTATCAACCATGGACCAAAAACCCCGCACAAACTGTTGGAATTGGACTGTTTTCTGGAAAGGACAAGGAAATTCAAAGAAATCATGGGCCTACTTCTCAGTCTAACGGGCCACAGTGTGGTTGTCCAAGGATCAAACCCCTGGCACCCGGGTTTTCCCATCAACAGAATTCTGAATGTTTATTCATAACATCTCTCCATTCTAGAAAAATCCAGCCAGTTCCAGCCCATCCCAAAATATCGTGATGGAAAATCCCCCATTTCTATCCGGTTTCCTTCAAATTTTGAGCATTGGGACCGGCGGTTCAATGGCAATGCCTGCGCCAAGGACGGTTCGCAGCCAGTCCAGAAGCCCGGGCCTCGTTAGGGATTCCAAGTAGAGGAAGGGAGCAGTTCCCCATGGTGCTTCAACTTGCTGGCGGGTCTCAACCAACAGATGGAAGTAAAATATATACGAGTATATATCTATATTTATATGAATACACGTCGTATACAATCCATATCATTGTCTATACATATATAAGATATATAAGCCACCAAAACTGCATCAGTAGGATTTGGCGAGTAGGCAAAGAAACAACCAGGAGATTTAGATGTGCAACTGCCAGAAACCTCATCGATGGCCGCTGATGGTACGATTAGGCTCAGGCACCGCCGTTCGCCCAGACTCTAAATTGCCCCAACTTACACCTAGACTATTACGTTGATTGAAGATCTTCGATTCTTCAATGATTGATTGAAGACCTTCAGTAAGGGATCAAATCCCCCGTTACATGTGGAGGAAAGCGAGATTGCGTAAAAAGGGGAAAAAAGGGGAAAATAATGGAAAATATATATTTTGAAAAACGAGTTTTCGAAGACCCTTTAGCAAAGCCTTCCTGGATGAAGCCCCAGCATGTCAAGACGTGTTGAGACAGTCATTTTGCACGGGAATTACAACGGTTTTGGCCCTTCGTCAAGACATGATCCAATTCATTCCGGGCAAGCGGGGACTCCTGGCCGTACGATTACTGACCACCGGGCACCAAGTAGCTGAGAGTGCTCAGGTGTAGCCTTGAGGTAGTGTCTTTGCAAAGCTTGTTGAATACCTTGCAGCCACACCGTCCCAAACAAAGTCCAACTGGACTGGCCTTCCGGTCGGTTCATGTTCTCTTCATGCAAAAGAAGCAAAAACTTCGAGTTTATGAGGGTCAGGTGATTGTGTGCAAAGTCTTGCCAAGATGACAGCGGTACAATTTCCCAACAATCCCTATCCTTTGCACCACTCTGGTCAAAGTTGGGAATGGCTTAAGATGGGCAGTGGGTCGAGCCGCAAAGTGCACGCTGTGTCCCAACATCCAGCGTAAAAGTGGCATGCTATATAAAAATACGTATGTATGTATGCATGTATGCATGTATGCATGCATATGCATGCATATGCATGCATATGTATGCATATGTATGCATGTATGCATGTATGCATGTATGCATGTATGCATGTATGCATGTATGCATGTATGCATGTATGCATGTATGCATGTATGCATGTATGGATGGATGGATGGATGGATGTGATGTGATGTGATGTGATGTGATGTGATGTGATGTGATGTGATGTGATGTGATGTGATGTGATGTGATGTGAGTTGATGTGTTGTAATGTAATGTAATGTAATGTATGTATGTATGTATGTATATCTATAATATGTGTGTGTGTGTTATATGTATGTCATATCATATATGTATATCAGATGCGCATGCCATAGGTGTATATCAATTGTGTTTATCATTCGTGTATATTATAATATCTATAGTCTATATATGATATATATTATATATGTCATATCTATGTACAATACAGTATCTATAATGTATGCTTATTTATTAATATACAACAGTCGATTTTAGCGGTAAGCTGGGAGGAGGAAAACGGACATGGGGCCGGCCAAACCCACCGGCGACATCTAGCAGCATTGTAGGGAGATCCATGGGAGAACCACGGGACAATGATGCACTGTATGCCTTCTAGTTCAAGGCATTTCCAGGCCGTGTCGGTGGTGTTTTGCAAACCCAAAGAGAATCACAGGCCTTTGGTGTGGAAGCTTCACAATACTTTCTGAGGAGGTAAAGCTGATTCAATCGAACACCCTTGCAGAAATATGACAAAAATCCAATTTGGCAGGCGGATGTTCAAGGTTTGCGTGAGACATGAATGTCCTCTCAGTATGGAAATGTCATGTCTATTGCCTTTGATGTTTGTGATAGTGCAGCATCTTCCGTCAGCGTTTGAGTGTTTGACCTAGGCCAACATGGCATGGCGGAAAATTGGTGTAGCCACAAAGGGAGCTCGCATGATGTTCGATGGGCTTCGTCAAGTGAGAGCCGATAGGAGTAGGCATATCAGCAAGTTGCGAGTCCAAAGTACCATGAACATCAACCAACGGTAACCAACGATCATCAAAGATCACTTTTTTAACGAAAACAAACATCAACACCCAAATCCGGAGCCCCGCCCGGCGTTCACAGCTCTCCCCAGGTCCTCCACTCGAAGACCATCCACGCTGGGCGCCAAAACGTCCACTACCACAGAGGCAAACTGGGTCAAGCGGCCGTGCTGTTGGTTGGTCATCTGGTTGGTCAATGGATTAATTCTGTTGGACAAACACCGAGGAAACCGCGGTTTTAAACCTCTATGAACCATGATTAAGCTCCAAATATAAGGCTGTCCTGCAAAGTATCTCTTGGAGCGATGTCTGGGTTTTGGTGGTTTCAACCCTCGTCAAAAATGAAGTGAAATGGGATCATCACTCCTGTTGCCATGTTATGTATTGTTATGTCATGTTATGTGTCAACTTTGGCATATCTTTATGAGACTTTACGATTGAGTATTTCGATCAAAACCACTGAACAAGTCTCAACAAATCCCTTGGGATTCCTCAGGTCCAGGTGGATGCGACTAGGAAGACCTGGGCAAAACTACTAGAACCACCGTTGAACCACCTGCATGGACAAAGGATACAGAGGAAGCTCCTGTGTTCCGTGGATTTGATCCTTTCAGAACTATTCTGTCGGTGGAACCTGGCCCTCAGGAACTTGGCTGCTTCTGGGAAGGCTAAGCTGTTGCATCCGAACATTAAAAAAAAGGGCCCCGGACATTTTCGCTCTTGATCCATCCGTCGCAATGCCTCAAACATTTCTTCAGGGCAACAACAAAGTCAGGAGCATCCACAATTTCCAAACTCCACTGAATTGTGTAAACCTTTTGGACACTGTATGACTCGTTCTAGATAATCACCGTCGCATCTTTGCAAAATAAGCTCCTAGCGCTCCAAAGGTGAGGCAGCGCCTTGGAGGTCTTCCAAACACCCCGAGATACCCCGAGTTCCATCCTCTGTACTAGAAGAATCAAGGAGTCTGCGCGGAACAGACCCTTGCATCTGCCACGTCGGTAGAATAACCTTTTCATTTGGCCTTGAATTTTCACGCGTCAATGAAGCCACGGGTTTGGCCTCGTGCAAGGTGAAATCTTCCTATCTTCCAGCTACCATTCCATGCATCTTTGACATGTAGCTCTGGGTCAGAACCCTGTACCCCTTTTGAAATCTAAAACTATCATTGAAACAAATTGAAAATGGCAGGTTCAGAATCTCTGAAAAGGGGGGGGTTTGGACCCGCAGCCATCTAATCAATGGACTCGCTGAAAAAAGCAGAAACAGATTCCAGGTTGTAGGACTCTAAGAGCTTCTGCAAGTCCTTAATACGATGATCCACACTTTGATAGCCACGAAGACGCCATTTGTGCCGATAAGCCGAAATGACCATGTTGTGCAAGAACGCCAGCTTCTGCGGTTGCAACTCAAACTGTTGCTGAATGTCTGAGGCTTGGTCAAGGACTGATTGCAGCTCTGGGTGGAGGAATTTGGTCTCACCCTCTTGAAGCTGCACCTCACGCAGAGGTTCAACCATGCGAACCTGTTGAGTCAACGCATGCTGATAGTTCAGCTTGGGGTGGACCAACTCCAAGAAATGCGCAAAAGTCTCCTCTTTGACATCAACATTCATCGAGACCTGGATCTTTTTGCCTGTTGCCTCTTTTGAAATGATGTCCTTCAAGACACTGATGGTTGTGATGGAGTCTGACCTGAAAATTGCAGTGCCCTTGGAGTACCTCCAAGGTCAATCGCATGAGGCATCTCAGAATATCCACCGATTTTTGTATGTATACAGTATACATGATCTTGAAACACTACATTTGCATAATTGTGCATACGAATGCATGGACATACTTGGACAATCTTAGACACATAAAATATGTATGCATAAGTTAAGTACATGAGCGAAAATTAACGGAATGAGTTTTTTGGCATGTCATAATCTTACCACATTTAGGGGCATTGGTTTTGACCCTTTCATACACCGTTTCATATTTGCCCCGCCTCCCATAGAGCTGAGTCCCAACAAAGGTGCTCCTGTAGCAAATGACCATCTCATCATCTGTAGGTCTGGACGGCAACTCATTGACACACTGAGCCAACCAGCTGTGCATGTCCGTGACTGTAAAGGGCCCGCTGAGCCGCAACTCGTTCATGGGGATGTCTGGAGAGACATCAGGGGTCTTCTCATGTAGTGCCAGGGGCTTGATGGAGACACTGATGAGATGAGCGGTCTTTGGCTGAGTTGCAGGAACCACAAAAGCGGAGAGTGTGCCACTGAGGCCCTCCACTGTACGGAGGCGGATCTGAAATCGACTGCCCTCTTCTTGCATCCTGTAGTATGCCAGCAATGGATTTTGTGGATCACCTCTGGATCTGGAAAGAATGGCGCTGGTGCCACTGTGATCCAAGAGGTCCACTTCCACGTCAGCTCTAAGCGCAATGAGTTCAATGGCTGCCTGGGATTCGATGGTCAGAATGTAGCAGGCTTCCTCACTTGTGAGTCCAAATCGATGCGAGACCTTGGTGGTGGTCTGCATTGCAATCTGCTCTGAGGACAAATTTTGATAGTCCTTTCTGGCCTTATCAGTCTCAGCCTTGAGTCTGGCCACCTCCTGTTCCAAGGCTTGGAAGCGACGTGCTCGCTCCTGCTTGATTTCTGCTTGCTCCAAATCTGACGATTTATGTCCTTTGACCATTCTGGTCATCAAGGATGTGCCAGCCTCTGCCTTCTCCTCCTGCTGGGCCATCTGCGTCCCTGTGGGATCTTTGGCTGCGGAGCTTGGGGTGAAGGCCAGCACCTTGCCGCCGTAGGTGGCCAAGACAACTTCCACGAAGTCGCCCCCGGTGACGTGGCCTGAGCCCAGGGATCGAATGCTCTCCTGCAGGCAAGTCTCCCACAGCGGGGTCGGTGCCTGGTCCAGGCGTTGAGCTGCCAGGGCCGCATCCCCCAGACCCCAAAGCTCCAGAGTGCCATCGTCTCGGCCAACCAACAAATCCAGGGCACCGCTTTTGGAGATATCAGCAGTGTGTAGGCAACACACACGTGCTCGCCGGCTACTACCGGCCCCTGGCCTGTTCTGGCGGTCCGACAAACCACCGGTGCGTCTCATGGACTTGGCATCCAGGCTGCAAAGACCAACAACACCTGAGCAGGGTCAACACAGGTGTTCACAAGATACACTGATTAATCCACTATATGAAATGTAGTACATAACATGTTGCAATAATATGTTGCACCATCGTGAGATCCTCAATGAACAACCATCTTTCACCACTGCTCACCTTGCTCTGTGCCATATATCATTTGGACCGGATCCCCCACGTGATGTGTGGGGTTGTCCACTGGATTCAGACCATGGAAACCAATGGCAGTGGCACTTCCTTCCACGGCGAACTCGTGGAAGGCTTTTTCACCCTGGAAGACCCGCAAGCACTTGTCCTGGCACGCAACCACTGTGCTCAGGATCTCTCCTGGATAGATGGGTGCACAGGTCAAGTCATTGATCCGATCCTTAATCATCACGAAGCCAAAGTCCTTGCAGTTGTCATAGATATTCAGGATGTATTCACCTCCAGTCCAAATCATGTTCTCCTCGACAAAGAGGTGATTGATGGTCTCCGTTAGGTTAGTCTTGATCTTCACAAACTCTTTTCCTTTTCGGGTGAAACCGTGAATGGACTGACCACATCCAACGAAGATCTTGTCTTTGGCCATTTGCATCACCACACTACTGATCTCGCGACCCAAGGGGGGCGATTTCCATTCGTACTGAACCTCGCCCTTTTTCAGATAGAAGACTTGGAGAATTCCAGTGTCATCACCTCAAGACATGGCAAATGTTGGCTGAAAAACGGATCAAATCTCTTGCCAAGACAAGACAAGTAAGACCAGAATTCAATTCCATAGATATTACCAGAGTTTCCCAATCTTCCCGAATTTTCCCCAGTCTTCCCAGATCTTCGAGAAGATCTTCCCAATTTCCCGCGCCTACTGCGATCTTTTGCTGTTTCTTTTTGCCCACAGGGAGGACTTCCAAGGTGCCGGGCTGCAAGGCACCACACTGTAGGAGGTCCAGGCGGTGCAACTGAATATCCATGGCTCGTCACAATGGCATCGATATCAGGCGCTATCTATCTGCGCAAGTTCCAATGTGTTTTCTTAGCAGTTGAAAAAAGTGGAAATTCCACTTGGTTGATTTGAAGTAATTGGTGTTGAGTCGATTTAGCAACCCAAACATTGAACAAAAAGTAAATTGATCGTGTTGATCCCCTTCTCCAAGTTTCTCTTTTTTCTTGACAAATCACAGTGGGGGTGCAAAGCATGGTGCAAATCTGATGTTTCATCGTTATCAATTTGGTGGCTGCACTTGAGCGCACCAGTCTGAGCAAACCTGCAGTGCTTTGTGCTGTGACTTGGCCACGCTATCCTGAATTATCCTCATTATATAAATTGCGATATTTCAGGGATTCTTGGGGGGTATACCGGTTAACACCGGTATACCCCTCCCCATTTTCAGACACACCCATATCATGGATCAATGGGGGACCCAGATCCAGTTGAGAAGCGGACCCGATCTGCGTCATGTGACCCATGGCCACGCGGTTGATCCAGGTCAAAGGAGTCAGCCTCAAGAGTTGTGTGGGCTCAGAGTCTCAGAGGTTCCGGCGAAAAACATGGAGCCCAAATGGCAAAGTCTACTGCCTGATATGCCTGTACACAATGGAAAAGGACTGGGTGAAATGTGCAGAGGTTGGGCTTTGAGACAAAGCACCGGCATACAGAAGTAACACTGCCGAAGAAATGCAACAGGCACGAGGTGGGTTTTGACTCGACTGGAGAATACAGCCCTGCACCTTAAGAAAAGTGTTGGCTGTCCAAACATGTCCAAAATAATTGAATTCGGGTACTCCTGTCAAACCACTGAGATCCACCCTCCCTTCGCTATTCGGCTGTCTCAGTGCCGCGCACAGCGTTGACTGCAGTCTGGGCAAAACAAGAAACAAGCAAAATGCTGAGGGAACACTGACTAGGAATCAGGTCCGCCTTTGTCTGCCAACACCCTTTTGCCATACTGCCCTGATGGTGATTGCGTTTGTGCTATATCAGTTTACAGCAAAAGGCTCACTCTCCAATTTGCTGTCGAAGTTGAGGGGGTTCCTTTGCCACTTCACATCATTCCCATTTCGCAAAAACGGAGCTGGGTTTTCAAGGGTCCTGTCACACAAAACGCATGCTGCCCAGCCCTTTTTTCGATCCGCAAAGCGAATGGTGTCGTCTCAGCTCGAAATATCTCGGGGAAGGCAGTCCGAACTCCTCGCGGTGAGCTTTCGTGGCCTCGCAAGAATTGCTTTTTGTCCTTTACTGAGTGAAAGACAAACATTCAGTCGGCAGTTTCAAAACAGCTTACAGAGAAGTCGACAGCTTTCCCCAAGCTCCCAAGATCTTCAACATTCTCCAACTGCCAAGTGCTGAGTGGCGTTGGTGTACCACTCCAACTGGTCCAGCATTCGGGAGCAACTCTGCTCCACTGCAGGGTCAACGGCATTACGTCGCAGCCTCAGGATGACAAGTTGATCAAACTACAGTACGGAAAAAAAACGGAAGCCCCCGGAGTTGAAAACAGAAGCACGGAGAAACAGAATGAACAATGAGCTCATATGCAATCTTCAAGTTTCGGATCAGCATTAAATCTTTGTTTTTTGGTCCAATGTCATTGTCTAACAGCTAACTGTGCCACATATGGCAGTGCAGGTGTTCAATGGAGTCATAAAAATCTGTCCAGCAGTGGCGTCCCTCCCAGTCCAAGGCGCGAAATGGTTTCAACATAAGACATTTGGGGGTTCGTCCCAAACACTTTCTTCCAACCTTCAGAGATGTGGGTTTGCCTGAAAATGGGGGATATCAACAATGGGTATTTCAATGGGGAAATTGATGATATGTGTATATATGATATGTATAACGACTTAAACATACTTAAACCCTAGGATGTGGATTCTTTCCCCACATCTTCAGAGATTTTCAGACTTTCCAGTCGTGACCTTTCAAGCATCCAACCCAACCATCGGCTGCCACGCTGCTGCTGCACGCCAGGGATGTGAAGTGCCTGCCGCGCTTCGCGCATCAAATGGGTTTCTCGTCTTTTTAATGGGGTTTTCCGCTTAGGAATCCTTCAAATAACCACAACATCCATCAAAATTCCATTTTTCAACATCATTTTCCTCTTTGAAATTATCTAATGGCTATTCTGGCTATACAATGGCCCCATTATGCCCCATTCTTGGACCCACCTGTGACCTGCCAACCCGACCTCCGGAACTGTCACGGCATTGATCTTTGTCAAGGCGTCGCGAAGTGACAGGTGTCGACGAGGGTTTGAAAACCTATGGCCAAAGACAATGACCAACAAACAACTGAAGGCTCGAATAGTCTTGGATATTCTTTGATCCTTGCTCTTTGAAGGCTTAGTGGAACATCTGCTACGGCAACAATTGATTTATATAATTTACTTTGGGATTGCCTACTATGGCTTCCTTCCGAACTACTCTATGACTGCTCGTTTGAATGACGTGCAACTATTATGTTCATACCTCCTTCAATCTTTTGCATGCGACAGTGAATACGAACAAGCCTGGCACAGAACACTTCAATCTTGGTCCTCATTTGCTGGACAACAGGTGCTAAACAACAGGAGGGAAAACTCTGAGAAGAAAATGAGGCATGACCCTGAATCTGAATATACCTGAAACTTGTTGAAACAAATATTTCTTCTGAAGAAAGGACGGCTCCCCGGCTGCTCCCCCTGATTTATGTGCAGTCTCCAGGTGCGATGAGTAGACACAAATCGCCCATGGTTTGTATCCAAAGACTTCGGCTCCTTTGCTCCCAGGTGTTGGGTGTGCAGAAGCTATTCGGGGATGCAGCTTTGTTCCTGTTTGGAGTTTCGTTTGTAGCCTAAAATGCTCTTGGTCAACACCAAGTGTCAACAAATGTCCGAACGACACCAAGGTATTGCAAGGAAAGAAATTTGGTGAACATTGTTGGTTATGTATATATATATATATATCCCACTACATCTATTTCCCCCTTGAATAATCTTGAATATACCTTCTAACAGCATTTGTAAATCCCCATTCACTTCCCAACTTGTTTGGTATTCAGCTGGATGGCAAGCTCTTTACCCGTACACCCCCACCTCCTATAGGCCCGATAAGGTCCTCCCAACTGTGGAAGCAGCTCCAGCACCTCGCGAGCAGCTGGGATGTCGGTCGAAAAGACAAGGTGTAAATCACAGCCTCCAACCCACCATCCACTGTACATGTTTGTACAGCAATCAGTGTTGGCTTCTAATGAGAGTATTGAAAGTACCAACGTAATGGGAACATTGGTCAAGTAGCATTTAGTAGTTGTGTTCATTTTTGGTTGCCAACATATTTAAGAACACTATATGCTGCAGGAAATGAATGACAACTCATCCTCTTAACGCTTCTGTCTTTTACAAGGCTTGTATCATGCAACCCACCCAAGTAACCTATTGTAAGTATTCACATCTAGTAGACTTTAGAATGTGTGTATACTACATATTATATCATGACTATGAGCGAACATTCTCACACATGCATTTACCATCGTTTACCTAAATAGATTTGCCATGATTTGCCTGTGTATGTGCAAAATGATTAAAGCACCCCTCCCAAGGCCCGCTGCCTCTGGAGAATCTCCTTCTGCATCAGGCGCTGCCAAGCAGAAAGCATCACAGCTGGCACTCCGCTCCATCAATCGCACCAGGGGCGGAGGTAGTGACGACCCACCTGGCAGGGCCTGTGGGGTAGCGGTGCTTAAGACATGTTAAGACACCCAATCCCACACAAAAAACGCCTGCCACATTGAATGGCTGTCACATGTTGTCTCCTGCTAACTTCCGAGCATCTCCCAAAATACCGCCTCGTGGCATCAACGATATGGGCTTCATCAAAAGTTGCAGCAGAAAACCTGGCGAACGTCCATGTCTACGCAGATCCTTTGGAGTTCGCATGAGAAGAAAGTTTCGGAAAAGAAAGTTCTATATCATTTACGCCCCCTGAATTTAACATGAATATCCCGAATGGACATGATCAATAGGAAAATCATCCAACCCAAGGTTGTGGGGTTCCTTGTTGAATCTACGGGCTGTTTCCGACCTTGCTCTGAAAGCACTGGATCTATGCGGTCCACTTCAAAACCGCGGTCCTGGCGATCGAGCTCAGGCAAGCCCGGCAAGCCGCCGAAGATGAAAACTCTGCACTGGGTGCTAAGACGTGCACAAAATCTTTAGAATATCTTTAGTATCTCTCCAAATACCATGCACACATAGATAGCATACTTGCGTAGAAAAATCATGAAAAATCAAGATTTTGGGTCAATGTCTACAAACTGTCCTTGTAATCGTGTAACTTCCCTCAATTCTGCTCTTTGTTCGATGGGTAAGATCAACTACAGTGTTTGAAAAGACTACACGATTTCCTTGCTTCCTCTACTCGCATTCTCTAGATCTTTCTCAGATCCAGAATTCCACTTATATACTACTCGCCCCATGCAATATCATCCAATATCATCCAATATCATCCAATATCATCCACTATCATCTTCAGAATCATCTTCAGCATCCTCCAAATGATATTGGATGATATTGTATGATATTGCATGAGTGGCTCATCCAATAGTGGCCATCCATATCATCCAATAGTGGTTTATGATCATCCATCCCATATTGGGAATCCATCATTGATGACCATCCCCTATAAGCAGTCTTCAAAACCCCTGTGTCGTTCCTTTATACTGATAAGTGTAAAGGGATTCCCCTAATTCTTTACACATCTCTACTTTTTTTACTGTTTAATTCATAGTGATTCCCCTGATGGATTATGACTATCCCCTGTGTATATATATATATAGGGTAGTATAATCCCTATATAATCATAGATTATCCATGATTATCCATGATTTTCCTATAAAAAATCTATCACCCAACCATATCCACGGCACAACGCCTCCAGGTGGGTGGTCACATAGTCCGCCACCAAGGGCCCCATACGTTGCGCTCGAACGCTGGTGGAGGCCAGCAGCACACAGCAGCGAGCCATGGACTTTGCAA